TTTTTTTTTTTTTTTTCTCTCCTAGAACTTAAACTATAGTGTAGCAACCAGTGACCTCTTTCCAGTACTGACATCAACTCTTGGTGATTGTATTGTGTTAGTTTAGGTGAATTGTCTGTTCTTGTTGTTTCCTAATATGTAATGCCTACTTTACATGTATATAAATGAATTGCTCTTCATAATGTTGATTAAAATGCTTTGATATTGTTTCCTGTAATATGATGCAGTAAAATTCTGGGTTTAAGACTGTTTATGCCTAGAAAACAATTCTATCTTTATAGGTGTTTAAGACCAGAAGTGACCTTCTGGAGATGTGAGGTCATTAGTAGGCATTGTATTAGTAGTCAGTGACTTTAATAAAAGGTGGTGTATGTTCTGTTCTTCTCAACAAATATCATCATACATTGGGGGCAGGTGATTATTTCAGGTGGAGGGCTGCTTACTGAGTTTGGCAAGTCATCGAGGGTTGCATGACAGACAGGCAGGGGCAGATAATTTTCTAAATTTTTTTAGGGGCCCCTTGGACTGGATAGAATGGCCTGGCAGGCTGCATCTGGCCCACAGGCCATATTTTGCCCACCCCTGTCATACATGCATGTGTATGTGTCTATTGTTGTTACCCACTCCAATACCTAAAGTTCTTCATCTATATAAAATTTTTCCATTATAAGATCCTGCCTTTAGTTTTTTTTATAACTGCATTTGGCTATAGTGGCTTATTTTGAGGATCTGCTGCTTGCTGAATTTTATTAGAAAATTTAAGCTAGGGAAAATTACGATGCAGGGAGATTAAATTAAATCTGCCTTACCACAGATAATCATTAACTCCAAGACAAAGTTGTCATTTTAAAATTGATCAAAACTGATGTCAGTCCAAATGATACAAAGTCCCTGTGAAGTACTGTGACTCTCACCTTTGTGTTCTCTTAATACTGAGGTTGTTTATCTTTAGGCAGCTTTAATACATTAGCTATTGTCAAGCCCCACAGGATCAAAACTAAAACTTGACATTTGGTGCAGTATGGCTTCTCTCTTTCTCCTTTCTACTCCCTCCCCCCACTCCTTAGACATTTCCTCTAGACTGAAAGTGTGATAGGGATTAACTTGAGAGCCCCTCCATCATAGGTGGGACCCTCTTCTGAGGGGGTTCACTGTTGAACTTGCTAAGCATGACTTCATATATAGCATGGTGCAGAATGGTTGCAGGACACCTTGGGGGCTTATTTCAAATGCTTAAAAAATGAAAATAGCCAGAGGCAACAGGTAGACTGGAAACTTTAATTACACATTCATTTTGACTGAGCAGATGAGTTTGTTTTTAAATAGAGAAGCACCAAAATTTTCAATAGGAGTATTTTGATATGGCTGCAGTTCATGTCTGACAATCTGTCATTTCACTATGTGATATAAATAATCAAAGTACTTGTTTGGAGTCTGCATACTGAATTTTTTCAATATAAAAGAGAGAGTAATGTTCAGATGAATAAAGGCTTTTTATAGAATAATGGACAGTTGCCAAAAGCATGTTCTCATTCAGCTGTGTTAAGCTGTGTAAGAGGTCAGGAGGAAATGGTACACTACGCATCTCTCATCTTCTTATAAAAAGCTGCACTCTTAAGAGTACTTAGAATTATTTCAGTCTTGTGGTGTTTTAAATTAGAGGAATGATTGAAAAGGGGTGTTGGGCATGGGTGTTCTGTGTGTGTATAGGCAGCATTGAGACTTGTTTATGAAGGGTAGGTCTGTACTTCCAAAGAATGGCAGTAGGGAACACTGTAAGCCTACCTGCATGATACGCTACACCCCCAAATTATTGCTGTTTTAGTGTGGCAGCAGGTGCACAACCGTACACTTATTGTTTCAGAAATTTGTTAATTTATTGTCTCATGCACAGAACTACACTAAGGTCCCTGACAGACCTTACACTTATGACAGAATTCATGTGTTAATTGTGCCGTACACGGCAAAATGCCACACCTTTAGCCAATTTATGGCACTGTAAAATGTCAGACCAGCCACAAAGATGTTCTACATATAATGTAGAGCAGCTTTGTGGCTGGTTTGTATGGCATCTTAAATTGAACATGTAGCGTGCCACTTCCTTTGCTGACAGTAGCTAATTGCCAGCATTTGCAATTTGGGCTGTCCCTGCCTGGTTGGAGATCCTGGGGTAATCAGCTGACTGTCAGCATGCAGATGAGTCCTGAGCTGGGGCTGCCCAGGGATTAGGAAGTTTGTGTGTACGTGGTGCTGCTGGCCAACATGATCCCAGGTGTGCGTGGGGCTGCCAGCCAACACGATTCCTCCATGTTGCTTTTGCAGGCCTTTCATATGGGGTTCTCAGTGGGCAGGCCAATGATGTCTGGCTTTGAATTTGCCAGTCTGGGGAGGTGGAGCCTGTTGGCCCCCACTGAATGGCACCTATAGACTTGTGCACCCAGCAGCCCCATGCAGGGCTACACTATGTAGCTGTCAACTTGCTGGTGCAGTGAAGACCTGGGTCACAATCCTATGCTGGCAAGTTGAAGAAGCTCATTTGGGATCTGATCCCCAAAATCATGTATCCTGCCATGTGTGTGGCATGGTAGAAGGCATGATTGTTGGGTTCCAGGGTCAGAGCTCGTTGTGCCATTAAATTAACAAATGCCTTGGGCACTTGGCAGATGGATTGGATCTGTTTCAGAATGTGGAATAGGCATAACACACTGCAGTGTTCCTTAGCACCACAGTTTAACGGCATAGGTATATCTAAAATGATTCACTGTTGTGTTGCAGGTTCTTAGGATGGTCATTTTAAGTTGTAGATAAGTTTGTAATTCCAGAATGCGAGCTGACACAATTTAACAAAATAGATATAGATATGTTACAGAACTACCTTTTCCAGGGATGAGTATTTTTGTAAAACCCCGTGGAACATATGCATCTATTTGGAGAATTTAACTTGTTCTAAGCTTTACAGACAGCTTTTGATGTATACAATACTGAAGATTTTTTTTACCTTTCCAGAAGAGCAGTGATACCATTGTTTATTTTCCCCCCTGAATTAACATGTACAATTTGTTTTTTCAAGCACAGTTGAGTCAGATTTTTGGTGATGCTAACCTTTATCCATTTAAATTGAGTGAGAGCTAAGTAAGAATATAATTCTTCATTAGAAAATAGTTAATTACTTTTGTTTTAGTGTCTGTCACCTTCTAGAATATTGCAAGCACTTTTATTTTAATTACAGGCTGCCTATGATGTAGTCTTTATTTCTTAAAGAAATTTTGGACAAGTTAATCTTGGTTGAACTCTTGATCACTTTAGGTTAATGGGAGTTTCACAGAGCTAGAATTTTATCTGTTGTGAATGAACAAACCATTTTGACTATGAATACATTTTGATTTGCACAGCTCTGGACATTTCTCAGGGGAGCATAGTCCACTGTATCTCATAAATATCAGAGTGGTTTGGTTTGACCTCTAGTGTTGAACTATGTAATTGCATCCCGTTGACAAAACATTTTTATGTTTCAGAAAAACCAGTCTCCCCCAAATCAGGAACACTAAAGAGTCCTCCCAAAGGTTTTGATACGTCTGCAATTAGCAAAAGCTATTACAATGTGGTGAGTGATCCCTTTCCTTATTTTGAGTTCTAGAACTTCATTAATCCACATATTCCATCTGTACAAATTTGGCAGATTATTACTATTTCCTAGCCAAGAGCTGTGGTGAGGTCTTATTCTTGGAAAATGTAATATAATACATTTTATTAATAAGCTGAACAGTATCAGAATATATGAACAAAGTATGCATCTGTAGTGCATCATGCTTACTTTGTTGATTTGCTACCTTGCAGAAATCAGCAATTTGCAGGTCTCTGTGTCACTGCAAATTAGCAAGGTTCTGCTGTATTCGGAAACAAGTGAGTTTAGGACTGTTTTGTTCTAAATCAAAGAGATTTAAACATCTATATGGAGGAAAAAAAAAACAGTTCTCATCTCCTTCAGCCCACATAACTGGGTAAAGCTGCTGGCACCTCTCATAAATATGTACAGTGGTTTGTTTGAGCCTTCAGAGAAAAGTGCATTCACAGTGTTGGCTTTTTCATATATTCTGTGCATTTATTTAGTAATTGTACCTGATACTTTAGAATTTTTTGAAATATTACTAATTTTAAAATGGCTAGTTGACTTTATTCCCTTTTATTTGTAAGATATGGGTTCCTGCTGAAGTTCTGATACCTTGTTTAATTGTAAACATTAGTGTACCACTTCTAACTGCTGCACTGCAATGGTATCAGCTACAACAAATCTTTTGTTTTTTATGAGGTTTCACTTTTTTTCAGTGAGGCTCCTCTAAAAAGATGTGGTTCTATGTTGTAATATTTTAAAAACAATAATTGTACGTAGCTCAGTGACCTACAACAAGCAACCCTTTCCCCTACAGAGCTTCTGTCAATCTGTAACTTTACCGTGAAAGGTATTTGATGAATTGCATATTGATTCCAGCACTGTCTTGTGAGAATGGAAAAATGTACAATTTCTTCAAATTGCAGGGATTATAGGACAACACTTTTAGACTGTATCCAGCTATAATACATCAATCGTCTTTCTGTTTACTCTTGTAATTATCTTTTAAAATATCCCTCTTTCATGTTTTTTTATTTTTATTTGCTTTTTACCATAAGCTGTTGTGTTTGTCTTTTCCTTATTTTTGTGTGGTTCTTCCCCACCTTCCCTTTTGAAATTTTTAGTTTGACTTTTTATAGTCAAAATAAAATTATATAACCCCCCCCCACATGTAGCAGCCTATACAAAAATTGTGAACATATATAGTCAACTTGTTAAAAAGAAAAAAAAAAGCTTCACACTTACCTCAAGAAATTTAATATGTATCAGTTACATAGAGGTAGACACAGAGTAGGAGGGGTTAGACCCCAGTAAAATTATCTAGTGTTAAAACTAAAGTGACTTCTGCCTCTGGATAGCTGATGCATGTAAAGTGTCATGCAGTAAAAAGCAGCCTTTAGCATTTAAGAGGAATCTGCTTTGGAGAATTGGCGTTAGCAAGTAGAACTGCTGACAGACGTTAATTAAAAGGCACAATGGGATCTAATCCCCAATCACAACAATCACGCCTTCTGTCACGCCACACGTGCATGACAGGATGCATGATTTGGGGATTGGGAATCGCATCCCAATTGTGCCCTATTTACCATTGTAAGGGGAGCCCGTTTCGTGATCCTGAGCTCCCTCTGCATGACAGGTAGAAAGCTTGGATACCCAACAGTCAGCAGTTAATTACCTGGTTCTGACACTGTACAGGGGCTCAAACCGGCCCCCATGCAGTCCCTGAAGCGGATGGACAATCAGTTGATAGTCAGCCATATCGGAACTGCACCAGGGCCAATTCCTGCTGGGCCTTACTTCATGACAATTCTCCAAATTACCTCCCCCCCCTTTTTTTCTTTAATGCTAAAAAGGCTACAATAATGTGTAATATTTTTATGGCTGACTTTTTCCCCCCCTTTTTGTGGCATCATTAATTCCTGAATGTGTGGCTGGGTTAATATTTATGAAATGATTAACAGACTAATTGTATTTTAAGTGTAATATCTGCCAGAGGCGTAGAGCAGATAGTAAAACCAGTAAGTTAAACTACAGCACTGCAGCCCAGTCTTTTGCCACAAATTACCCCAGGACCCTTCCTGACTGCCAGTCCAATCCCTTTCTCCTTACCTGATCTGCTGCTTTGCTTTTTGCTCCATCTCATCTGCTGCTTTGCTGCTTGTCCATTTCTCAGTCTGCTGTGTGCTATGCATGGTCTGCCTGTGCCACTTTTGGCACCTGTGCTACAGGTTGGTCACCCCTGCACTACAGTAAGGTCCATTGCAAAAAATAAAAACAGAATTTTGCAGAATTATGTCCTGAAACTGAGCTTAAAGTGTGCAACTATGTACAAAATTAAAAATGTAAAGCTTGACTGTGTAGCTGTGCCTATTTTATACATATGTTCAGAATAAAATTACTGAATGAAAACTTCCATTGGGTCAAAAACTTTAAAATTCTGAACTCCTAAGACAAC